AGGGCAGTGTCACTGGCCCTCATATGTGGGATGCGAAGCGGGGCCCTCTGGCGTCCCAAGCCAGTTCTTAACCATCGCGCCACTCGGCCGGCCCTCAATCTATTTTTTTATTGTGGTAAAATACATATACCATAAAATTCCCCATTTTAACTGTTTTTAAGTATATAGTTCTATGGCATTAAGTACATTTATATTGGTTGTGCAACCATTACCACCATCCAACTAGAGAACTTTTTATCTTCCCCAATTGAACCTCTACCCATTAAATACTAACTCTTATTGCCCCCTCCTCCTATCCCTGGCAACCTCCATTTTCCTTTTCTTTTTTTTTTTTAAACCTTAAAGGTTCTCTTCCCACAAAAAAAAACTATGTGTGGTGATAGTTGTTAACTAAACTTACTGTGGTGGTCATTTTGTAATATATACATGTATCAAATCATTACATAGCACACCTGGAACTAATACAGTGTTATATATAGATCAATTATATCTCAATTCAAAAGAGAGAGAGGACAATTAAATGTAATGTGGTATCCTGGATGGGATTCACTTTTCATCATTTGATGTGGAATCCACTTGATTTCTGTTCAGCCTCCCCATCTAGCACTGCACAGTCCAGTGCAGTATCCACTGGCAATGTGTGGCTGTTGAGCTCTGAAAATGTAGCCAGTCCAACTTGAGATGTACCTGAGAAGTAGCAACAATGGTGGTGGTGGCGGGACAGACAGGTGCAGGGCAACCAGCACGTGCTTGACAAGGACGCAGCTCTTTGGCCACCACCTTCCATTAGCCTTGGCAGGCCAACCCCCAATTGGCCCCCTCTGTGGCCGTCACCCGCCACCATGTCTCTACCACCTGCTGAGTCCTCCACAGGCAACGCCAGCCCTCTGCTGTATATCTCTATCAATTTGACTAATCTAGCAACCTCATGTAAGTGGAATCAAATAATATTTGTGCATCTGTGTCTGGTTTATTTCACTTAGCATATTGTCTTCAAGGTTCATCCATGTTGTAACATGTGTCAGGACTTCCTTTCTAAGGCTGAATCAGCAATCACATTTTATTTATTTATTTTTATTTTATTTTTTATTATTACTTTTTAAGATTTTATTGGGGAATTGGGGGGAGGAACAGACACGTTGCTGTCCTTTTGTTCTTCAGTCTAGTTGTGGAGGACGTCGCTTCACTGGCCCACGTTGGTATTATCATTGTGCTCTTCCCGGGTGAGGCAGTCGCTTGCCGGCCATTGGATGGCTGCTCACAGCGGCTCACGAAAGCTCATGCCAGCTGCTGGCCAGCCCCACTGCAGCCTACGCCGTCGCTGGCAACTCACGGCAGCCCAGCTCCGGGTCGAGCTGTTGTTCACCATCTTAGCTGTAGAGGGTGCAGCATTACTGGCCCTCATGTGGGATCCGAACCAGGACCGTGCTGCTCAGAGCTGGAGTCCCAAGCCAACTCAACCAAAGCGCCACTCAGCCGGCCCCCTTTACCCATTTTTGAATTGGGTTGCTTGTTTTCTCATTGTTGAATTTTAGTTCTCTATAGATTTTAATCCCTTATCAGAGATATGATTTGCAAATATTTTGTTCCATTCTGTGGATTGCCTTTTTACTCTGTTGATAGTATCTTTTGATGCACAAAATTTTTAATTTTCATGAAGTCTAACTTGTCTGTTTTTTCTTTTGTTGCCTCTTATACATGGTTTAATTTCTTTTTAATTTTAATATGAGCATTTTCTCATTAAGTTTACTCTCTGGAAACACTACTTGAATGTCTGTCACATTCAGGCTATGAAAGTGCCAGGCCCCTAGGGGGGTCATTTTGACAATTTCTCATATTGTGCCATTTGCTGTGATAAGTAACACTGGAGGGGACACCCCTTAACATCAGTCTGTGGTCACATTTGTGGCTCCTTGCACTGCATTCTGAGAAATGAGGCCACTTGCTTAAAAGGCAGTAGGCTTTGTATGTGTGTTTTGGGATGGGTTTTGCTTGCCTCCTTTCATGTCTTCCAGACTTTCACTGGTCCCATGACTGTGTGAGGGACTAAACTAAGGGTTTTTGTTTCTGTAGAGAATTAGGACTTCCTTCCAGGGTGGTCCTGAGCCAGGAGTGGGCTCCAGACCCCTAGAACCGAGCCACCTCTGATGCTCGAGGGGCTGTTGTCCTAGACTGCCACTGTGGTCCTGAATAACTAGCCTGTCTCTGCCTCTAGTCCAGCCCCTATGGAGATGCTGAAACTAAAGCTCCGCCGGCCAGCCTTCAGTGATGATATTGACCTCAGTGCCACCTTTGATGTGGACACCCCTCCAGCCTGGCCTTTCAGCGTCCAACATGGCCATGCCAAGAAGCTCTACCTAGAGAAGGCACAGTAAGTGGTAGTCCCTGGTTCTGTTTACAGCCTGAAGGAAGGGTGGCTGAAAGACCCCTGCAGGCCCTGCCCTAATAGCTCTGAGTTGTTAACAGGGCAGTGAGAGTCACCTAGGCTTGGCCATGGTTTTGGTTCCAGCCACCTCTTCTTTTCTCTCAGTAATACTCACTCTGTGCAAAGCCCTTCTCTTGCTTGTCATTAATCTTCACCATCACCCTTCAAGCAAAGATGTCGGGATGTGAGTTGGAGAGAACAGAGTTCCCAGTGGGGGAAAGTCTGGGCTGATGGTGTTGGGGCAAGGAGGTGCACCCAATATCTTGAAGGCCTGCCCACCAGAGTCCTGAGCCAGGAACTCTGGACTTCCTCTTCCACTGTGAGCCTCTCAGGTTCAAACATGAGGCAGGACCATCTCTAACCATGGAGCCTGGAGCCCCACCCCCTACTTAAAGGAGTAGCCCACAGGGGTAGGTGTGCAAAACTGTGTGGAGCTGCAATGGGATGGGGGGAGGGGGCTGCAGTGGGACTGGGAGTGGGGAGGCTGTCTCCTTGGCCAAGCAGGCTACGTCAGTTCATTATGGAGACAGGAACTATTCCCATACATACATGTTGGTATATGCTGCTCAGGTAAGGGAGGGCAAGGGCTGAGCAGGTTTCTGCTTAATTAAAACCTTTGTACACAAGAGAAAGAATTTGAGATATTGAGCAGTAGAGGAGGAGGAGGCCCCAGGAGAGAGCAAAAAGCAATGTCAGCTGAGCTCTCTACCTTTCCCCAAACTCGGGGGCAAAGGTACCTGTGCTGTACAGGGCCAGGCCTGGTGGCAATGAGAAACAAACCTCAGGCGTGTGGGCTGCAGTCAGGGGCCTTATTGGTGCCTCTCCACACTCTGGCTTTCTCAGGTTGCCTCTTCTTGAGCTATAAAGGTTCAAAGTGGGTACCTGGAACCTGCAGGCTACCAGGCTTTTTAGAGACATTTCTACCATCTTCAGAGCCTGTGAGGGGTGTGAGGGAGCCCAGGACGCCCCCAACTTGGGTTAGCCTCCCCATACCAAGACTCGCAACAGCTGGAGAGTCTCATGGTCTTCATGTGGCCTTACCATAGACAATGGGGGCAGAAGCTGAGGGGTTCAGAGTCTGCAGGCCCTGAGCCTGCCCTTGTCCTCATGGCTTTGAGAAGCCACAGGGTCAGCCTTAGGTCACCATCCTCCCACCCATTTGGGAAAATACCAGGAGAGGGTATCCAGTTGCTGGGGTCCCCAGGCATTGGATGGAAACATGGTGTCATGGGAGGCCAGGGCCTGGGGCCATGATCTGTTCTGCTCCAGACCCTGCACAGATTATCTAGATGATCTAGAAAGATGGCCTAGCTGTGATTTCTGAGAGTAACTTATGGGCTACTTAACTTACTGAGGGTCTCATGGAGGTGGCAGCCCC